TATAATTTTATTAAATTAATAATTTTCTAATTAATTATTATTAATTTTCTTTCTTTTTTTACTTTAGCTTTGAATAACTTAATGTTTTGCTAATTTTAAATTCTTTATTATCATATATTTAATATTCCTTATGATTATTCTTTTTAAATTTTACTTGTTCTTGATTAAATTAAATAAAATATCATGTTAGAAATAATTTGTAATTAGTATAGCAAGAAAAATATTATATATAGAGAGTTAAGAAGTAATCAAGAAGAATAATTAAGTTTGATAGAAGTAAATACTACTGAGTTAAAAGTAGTTAATTAGTATTTTTCTTTAATAAAACATATATATTTTATCATATATATTATCTTATCTTTTTCTTGCTCTATTAAGAGAGTATTTTGTTAGAAGTAAAACACATATAAATTATCTTATTGAGAAGATAATTATATTTTAGTTAGAAGTAAACTTATATAAATTATCTTATTGAGAAAATAATTGTATTTTATCAGAAGTAATTCTTATACACATCCCTATCAGAAATCCTAAAAATGAATCTGTCACTTTGAAATCTAATATCTCAAAATTTAATAATCTAATTTAAATGAAAATACTTCATTAAATTTATCATGACTTCACAAATCTTATGATAATATCTTTATTTAAATGAGATCATTAGATTATAAGAAATTGGATTCCAAAATGATAGTTTCATTTTTGAAATTTCTGGTAATATATTATGGAGATGTGTATATATTATTTTATTAAGAAGATAATCAGTTATATAATTTCTTGAAACTATAAAAGTAAATAACTACTATGAATATAGTCACTATTATCATTTTAAAATAATTATATATATATAATCTTAAAATAGTAACAATATAATGATTAAAATTAAAAAAATTTTAAATTATTATAATTTCTTAAAAAATAATAAAATAAAAAATTATCTTATAAAATAATAGTTTTATTAAAAAATTAAAAATTTATAAAAGACTTATTATATAAATTTTTATTTTTATAAAAAAAATAAATTTTTAATCATATATAAAATTTAAAATATTATAATATTTTAAAATTATAATAATAAAAAATCTATTTAACAGAATTATAACTTATTAAAATTATTTATTTTTGAGTTATAATACTTTATATTATATATATAAATATTAAATATCTTATACTATCCTTTATTATATTTTTTTTTCTTAATTAAATATCATATTTGATTTATCTTTTATTCATCTAAATAAGAATGATAATAATATTTATAAAAAATTAATTAAATATGATCTGTTATAAAAATTTTGATACATCAGATAAATATTAATAAATTATTTTTTTAAAACAAAATTTTTAATTCTGCTTTATTTAATTAAGTTATTAGGTATTGGAATTTATTTAAATATAAAAATTTTTATTATATATCTTTTATAAAAAAATTTTTTACTAATAATAACTTTTTTTAATTATTATTTCTTATATTTTACTATATAAAAATTACAGAATAAATAATTTAATTACTAAACTTTGAATCTTAATATTTTTATAACTAAGTTTGAAGTTTTAATTTTGTAAATTATAGTATAGTATTTAAAATATCTTTTTTTTTAAAAAAAATAATTTTATTTTAGTTTTTTTAGTAAAGTAATACTTCATTTATTATTAAATTAAAGTATAATAAAATAATTAAAATAGTATAAAAAGTAAATTTAGATTATTTTTTATTTAATATAAAAAATTATAAAGATTAGTTAAAATTTGAATGATTTTTATTAGAAACAATTATTAATTTTTATATTGATGTATCAATCTTCTTGCAATGGCCCATAATATATATTGAATTTATAATATATTAACTATAGGATTATATCATTTTAATCCTTTTAAATCTAAAGTAAATACATGCATTTGAAAATTTTTATTTAAATTTTGCATTCTTTTTGATTGTCACTGTATGTTTCAAAAAAAAACCAGGAAGTTGTTGACGAAATGAATCAAGCAAAGCAATATGAATATCTTCTTTCATCTTATCATCAAACAGAGTAATACAAAAATCAGAAGATGAAATTCCTTTAAAATTTTCCAGATTTTCCAAATATCTACTAGGAATTGTAAGCTAAAATGGTGCTTACTTTGATGAACAGTTTATCGTCAATTCTTTCGGATTGGAAAGTGTTGTGGATAGTTTCAATGGCTGGTCTATAACATCCAAATCTAAATCATCTTTGGACACCTTATTCCTCGCAAGCTTTAAGATCTTAAATTCCAAACCAAATTCGATTGATAGATTTATTATGCAATCGGTAGCAATAACATTTTTGTCATGAGGAAAGCCAAAATTGTCGAACTACAAAACCGGTATCAACGTCATAATATTACAGCTTTTAAATCTTATTCCTAGCATTTAACCCTCCGCCTCAAGATATACCCTATTCTAATTTTGTCTGATTCCATTTACAAAATCCGTCAAAAACCGGATATAATGAAACTTTTATCACAAGCTATAACGAACTTATTACAGATTTAAAAATTTTGCAACTAACCCTGATTTACACCATAAACAACATTCTCGCACGTGAATAACATGAATAACATTTATGTATATCCAGGAAAAATCCTAGATTGTCTGGAATAAGGAATTCTTCCTGTTCACACGAAATTCCACACAGAAAACAAATATTACTGGATCTGGTAATATTCTTACCCGGGTGATCCGCAGTTAACCTTCGGGTGCATTTTTTTTGAACGGGTCCAATCACATATTGTAAAAAGGAGAACCGCACGCGCGTAGAGTATTAAATAACTCGCAGAGCACTTAACTACGCTATATTATTAACATTCTACGCGCGTGCATATTTTTCCCTTGACAATAATCCAATATGGCCAGAACTCGATCTAGAAGTTTTATAACAGCAGAGAAACCTGCCTCATATGATGACTTTCTTGATATGTCTGCTTTACCCAATTTCAACTCGAATTGGGTATACTTTAAAGGTCATTTGTTTGGATCTTTTTAGCTTAAACCGATAGTCTTCAAACTGACATTTTTCAATTTTATATTATGGCTGATAGGTGCTTGGTTTTTCCATATAATCATCATTATGTCGATTAAAATTATTTTTAGTATAATCCCAGGAGTTTCTCCGGAAGCTAGCTGGACGTTGACAAACTTGTCTTATGATATAGTGAGTAAATAACTAACTATATATATAAATGACGTCGATTACATAATACTAGAAATGTTTATTATTTTGTTTTGATGATTTCATTGCTATCAGGCAAGTTTTGTCATGTTCCATTGGGTGAAAGGAGTTCCATTCGATTTCAATTCTGGTGCCTATGATAGCCTAACACTATGGGAGCAAATTGATCACGGTGTTCAATTCACTCCGGCAAAGAAATATTTGACCGTCGTTCCGATCGGGCTGTAAGTTATCCGTTTATCTGACTGTTTCTCTTTGGTCATTAATTAATATGGTGTTATTGAACTTTAGATTTCTATTGAGCACACATTACACGCACTATGATATTTTTACATTTTTAATCAATTTCATGGCTGCTTCTATTGCATTGATCGCTAAATTACCCCAATTGCATAAAGTCCGACTGTTTGGAATAAATCGACTTCGAACATGATTAATGAAAGAATGAATTGAACTATCCGATCTTTCAGGAATGAATTAACGAAGAATCAACTCATTTAAGGAACGAACAGTGAAGATTAACACAAGGTTGTTTTGCTGTGAAGACGACGGCAACGGAGGGAAACACGGCATTTTTTTTTAAATAAATACCATCATCCATCATCCGCCCATCTCACCATCTAATAATAGAAACTGGAGTTGTAAAGGAACAATCTTCCAGATTAACTAGCAGTCCTTATTTATTTTATTATGTTTGTATTTATATTATTTGTGTGTGTATGTGCATTCTTTTAACCTCTGAATTTTTTATTCTTTTTCTTGTAATTGTGTCACTATATACACTGTGTATGTATGTATATGTATGTGTGTATTTCACTCGCCAGAAGCGTAAAATCATAATACAGAGTAAAATTCATCTGTGAGTATGGCAAACAAGAGACACAGTGATAATGAAAATGAAAAAATTGAGTATATATAACAATATTTAACAGTAAATAAATCATTTTTGGTATTTGAGAGTGCGAGTTAATATTTGATTGAATAATAGTAGATGATGATGATACCTAGGACCAGATGGTGCAGAACAAACATAACATATACCCTCATGAATCCTTTTTATTTTCCTCGATACGATTCTCTACCTTTTTCTCCAGCTCGTTATACCGCTCTGCCAATCGCATGTACTCATCCGATTGCTGACTTGCTTGTTTCTTTAGAACGTTGAAATCGAGTGACTTTTTCTTTTCTTCTTCTAGCTCACTAGAGAGTATCTCGATTTCTTTTTTCAACTGGGATTCGTTGTCAACTGCTTTTTTGAATTCCTTTGATTGGGTGACCGTCTTTGTTTTTTTTTATTTTATTTTATTTTTGTGATAATCAAAAATACAGTTAATTGGTTGTGCAAAAAGTGGATGAATCTCAAAAGATAAACTCACTTTTTTCTTCATCTCTTCCAACTTCTCTTCGACTGTCAATAGATCCAAGATCAGGACATACGTTCGGTTGAGAATTCTGATTGTTGAAAAAAAAAGAATTTAACACTCTCGTAGAATATGCGTCAATTATACCAATACGTTATACACGTACAAGGAAAGAAATAAGGTAAATCCAGTCAGATACCTAAATGAGAAAAAAGAATTAATTTTCAGAAAAAAACAAACCATAATTTTAATATAGTAAGATAATCACATGTTCCGTTGGTTATAAAATTTCTTAGCGTGGATATTAGTTTCGGTCCTCACGTCATGAATGTGTTCACTCGCATGAGCACTCTCTTGTTCAACTTTCCAGATTCTGTTAAGTGAATCTTTTCATTAAAATAAAATGAGAATAAATTAGAATAATGAGATTGAGAAATGAATGTGTAAAAAATTTGAGAAAGTTTGTACCTGCGAAAAGAATAAATACAAAACTGCGAATGATAATTTAATTAGGATCAGTCTATTATTGCAATTACACGAAAATTTCCTTCGAAAAGAAATTCGTTGACTCACATGAATAGAATCTTAAAGGCGTATTGCAACTGAGCGATCTATACATGTATATACGCGAGATAGCATTAGCAAGGATCCCTCGATCCAACATTAATAAGAAATAATCAATTTGATTCTTACAATGGTTGATTGAGAAATCCAACGGAATGCAGTACGTCGCCATGAGGATGGAAAAGGAAGCTTCAAATATAAACGTTATCAATAAATCAATAAAAAAGGTTAAAATAACCCTTTATTTTATAGCGGGTTTAAAAGGAATATACACATGAAAACTTACAATCAAAAGGAGAAATATTATCATCTTGATCCCGGGCAAATGTAAAGAATTTTAAAGTTAAATTCTTGAGCAAAGTTTTTTTTAGCTTTACGAAGAATTCGATCTTTCATACCTCAACAACTAGCAGCGCGAACACCAAACTTAGATAAAGAGTCATACTTTCTTAATCGACAGGAGTTCAAATAAGTGTTAAAGTAAAAAGATAAGGGAAACAAACTCTAGAAGTAAGTGTGTTAGTTAAGTTTTTCAAAAAAAAAAAAAATATTGAATTCCAAGTTTTGTATAGTCTATATAAATAGAGATTCGCGAAAGAATATGAAATGACGATTTAAAGATGACGTGTTGTGAGGATCTTAACAAAATGCGTTGGCGGCTTTTTACTTGTTTATATTTATCATCAGCAGATCTTTCAAAATAAAATTTTTTGATCGTTTTAAATCCAGTAAAATAAAAATGCTTACGCGTTCAAAAGCCCGTGCCAAAAATATTAATGTTGACGAAATTAACCAAATCTCGGTTACTCAGCGAGAACAAAGTTTAGTAAACCCGACTACAATACAGCAGCAGCAAACTTATGCTACTGATAACAATAATGATACCGCGAGTCTAATTCCAGTAGTACAAATTGAAATACGAAATATCGAAAATATTGATATTGATAGTACCCCCTTAGTTGAAATTGACACAACGGAAACGAAAAAAGATGCTTCCACCGTTGTTTCTAATGATACCGCGAGTCTAATTCCAGTAGTACAAATTGAAATACGAAATATCGAAAATATTGATATTGATAATACTTTAGTTGAAATTGACACAACGGAAACGAAAAAAGATGCTTCCACCGTTGTTTCTAATGATAACGATGGTAATAATGATGATAATGATGTTGATAATGATGATGTTGATGTTGACGATGATAATGACGATGTTGATGTTGACGATGATAATGATGATGATGATATTGATAAAAATGATAACAGCGATGAAAATAAAAACAATGTGGCATCTGACGCGATAAAATCATCAACAAACCTGAAGGACGAAGAAGATGACGATGG